TTGTTCAATAGTTTCTGCATTCTGTTGGATCACCTCTCTTTGGAATGGGCACAAATATGGATCTCATCCAGTTGGTTGGCCAGGTAGCTGTTTTCCAAATTTCTTGGCGTAGATGAGTGAGCACATCCAGTGCTGCATTTGTTTGTCGAAATATTTCAATTGGTATTCCGTCAATTCCTGGAGCCTTGTTTTTCGTATTCCTTCAGCAAAGCTTGGACTTCTTCCTTCAATACCATCAGTTCTTGATCGTATGCTAGCTCCTAAAATGACTGAAAGTCGACCGATTATTTTTGGTACAGTGACTGTGTTCCTTCCATCTTCTTTTGATGCTGCCTGCGTCATTCAATATTTTGCCCATAGAATCCTTCACTATTGCAACTCAAGGCTTGAACTTTTTCTTTAGTTCTTTCAGCTTGAGAAATACCTAGTGTGTTCTTCCCTTTAGGTTTTCTAACTCCAGGTCTTTTCACATGTCATTATAATACTTTGTCTTCTCAAGTCGCCCTTTGAAATCTTCTTTTCAGCTCTTTTACTTCATCATTTCTTCTGTTCACTTTAGCTACTCAATGTTCAAGAGCAAGTTTCAGAATCTCTTCTGACATCCATTGTGGTCTTTTCTTTCTTTCCTGTCTTTTTAACGACCTCTTGCTCTCTTAATGTATGATGTCCTTGATGTCATCCCACAACTCGTCTGGTCTTTGATCATTAGTGTTTAATGCGCCAAATCTATTCTTGAGGTGGTCTCCAAATTCAGGTGGAATATACTCAAGGTTGTATTTTGGTTCTCATGAACTTGTTTTAATTTTCTTCAACTTCAACTTGCATATGAGCAATTGATAGTCTGTTCCACAGTCAGCCCCTGGCCTTATTCTGATTGATGGTATTGAGCTTCTCCATTGTCTCTTTCCACAGATGTAGCCAATTTGATTCCCTTGACTAGTGGCTATTTAAACTGAAATTAACTAAAATTAAAAGTTCAGTTCCTCGGTTATACTAGCCACATCTCAAGGCTCAGCAGTCACATTTGTGAGTGGCTGCTATATTGGACGGCAAAGATGTAAAACATTTGTATCCTCACAGAAAATTCTGTTAACACTGCTCTTAAAAAATTGTCAGAAAGAAAGAAGCCACATCTATTTTCTTGTAAACACAGAGGTTTAATGCGCTTTGCGGACTTCTTTAACATAAAAACTCCAAATACACAGTTTCGGGCCCCTTTTGCTCTTAGATAAGCAAACTCATTCATTCATTCATCCAACCATTCAACATACAACTTACTGAGCACCAACTATGTTTCAGGACCTGTGCTAGGTGCTGAGGATAGAAAGATGAACAAAGGGATATAGTCCCTGACCTCCAGAAACTCAGTCTGAAAGAAGAGGCAGACAAGGAAAAAGGCAACTACGATGCTGAGAAGAATGTTATGATGGGGAGCTTAAGGATGACATGAGAGACTTAAATAGGCAGCCAGCTCAATCTCGGCCATTCAAAGAAAGCTTCACAGAAGCGTGATTCCCCACCTCGGTGTTGACGGATGAATAGGAATTGACCAGCTCTTAGGAATTTTAGACAGAATGTTTCAAAATTCAAAGAGAGGAACTGCAGAACATGGTTCATTCAGGGACCCAAGAGAGACTGGGTTTGCCTGAAGTAGAAGATGCAGTAGGGAATCAGGAAGTGCTTAGAAAAGGAGAAGTCAGGTGTCCAGTCATGATGTTCTTGTGTGGTGTGCTAAGGAAGATCAGATTTTGGGGAAGGGGAAAAGAAAAAAGAGTTTCCCTTTGGACATGCTGAGTTTGATCTGCCTGCAAAACATCAGAGGGTGTATGTGGCTAGAATTCAAGAGCAAGGCTGGGTAATACAGATTTGAGACTCATCAGTCTCAAGGTGGTCATTAAACCAAGGACTTGGCTGAGCTCATCTAGAGAGTGTGTGTAGAGTGAGATAAGAATGAACCAAGGACAAAACCAACTCCAGGAGCTGCCAACATACTGGGGCACGCACAGAAACACAGCCAGTGAAGGAGACTGAGAAACCACATCACAGGGAGGATGTCCTCTGTGACACACCCACCACACGTGCACATCACACACAGGCCCTCCTCTGTGCCTCCTCTCTCCAGGCAGTTACTGTTACATTTATTACACTGTGCTTTAATTGTCTGTTTCCATTTTGCCTCCCATTGGCATTTGGACTTCCTTTATCTCCAGGGCCCAGAACCCAACAAAAACTTCTAGGCTGGGAGCAGGGAGAGGAGGATAGAGTTAAAGGAAATTGAATTGAGTTGAATTGAACCAAAATGACACTGGGGAACATAGGGCAGTGTGCTCCCACAGCAACAACGTTAAGCATTACCCCCAACTTCTTCACCAAGGGTCTCTCCAGAGACCACTGCCTCCAGAGTCTCCCCAGTTCCCCAGTTATGTTGCCACACCCCTTCAAGGCAGGTCCTCACTGCTTCTTATGGAACAGGGCTGGGGCTGGCTCTTTGCTGGGCTCAGCCATGACCTGCATGGGCTGGTTGCTCAGGGCGGCCTCACGCATCTTGTAGTACATGAACTCGTTCTGGCGGAACATGCGCAGCTCCATCTCTGTCTGCACTCGCATGGCCTGTAGGACACAGATACACTGTAAACATTGGTGGCAAGTCCCCAGGACATGTTGGTCTTTGACCTACCTTGACCCTTTTGAAAAGGACAGGCAACGGGGTAAATGACTCCCAGTCACCAAGATTCGATTCAACTCTCCTCCCTCAAAGGACACAGACACTCACTCATCCATTCTGTGTTTGTGAGGGTAAGTTGGACCCTTGAGAGGGTATCTTGAGAGACTGCTCTCAGCAGAGAATATGTGTTCTCAGGAACTGTCAAGTGGGAACCTGGATATGAACCCTGGCTCCCACACATATTGGTTGTGGGACCTCAGGAAAGGGACTTAATCGTTTCAGCCCTCAGTGTTCTCCTCTATGAAACAGACGAGGGTGTGAAGACTACAGTGAGTGACACATGGAAAGCCCTCTTTCTCTATGTCCATTCCACAAATGCTTATCAAGGGCCAGGCGCCATTCAAGGGGCTGGAGACATAGCAGGGAACATGATAGACAAAGTCTCTGCCTTGGATGAGCTTCAGGTACTAGACACAGTTAGTCTTCTCCACTTTCCTGCCTTTCACTTGGTCCTCACATCAATTCTGAGGGGCTAGTAGATTATTCCCACTTTATAGGCAAGGAAACGGAGGATGAGAAAAGTAAAAGGTCACACAAGTCCTAAGTGGCAGAGCCACTTTGCAGTACATTTTCTAACACCAAAATCTGTCCTCTTTCCCTATACTACACTAAGGACAGCCCTGTCACTCAGATAACCAGCCCCTCAAAGCACAAAGGAAACCAGCAGTTACTGAGATCACACCATTTGCCAGGCACTGTCCTAACAGCTTTACAACGTTAATTCATTGAACCCTCACCACAACACTATGAGCTTAGAATTAGAACCTTCATTTATTTCACTGGGTTCTAATTGAGCTTAGAACCCAATTTATTGAGGAGGAGTGTGCGGCCCATAACAGCCAATGTTTGCAAAGTCACACAGCTAGAAAGTGGGGAAGCTGGAACTCAGTCCAGGTGATATGATTCCAGAGCCAATGCTCCCAACTCTATACAGCCCAGAATACTTTCTAGTGTAAATGGATGCACACACATACGCTCACACACACCATTGTTTAGACCTTCTCAGTCCAGGCTTGGGGCATCATCATACAACAGACTCAGGATTCAAGTTTCAGCTTTGCCATCAACTCACTATATGACTATGGACAAATCACTCCCCTTCCCTGGGCTTCAGGTTCCTCATTATGTAAAAAAAAAAAAAGAAGAAAAAAAAGAGAAGTCATAAAAAAAAAATTTAATTAAAAAAAAGAAAAGTGAGCTAGCACACTTCTAAGTCCCCTTCTTGTCTGACTGGCATTCTATGGGCTTTCCTACTGTCCACCTGAAGTCAAACTCTCACCCTCAAGAACACAGCCAGGTAGTGAGAGCCCAGGTCCAAGATGCTACTTGCCTCTAAGTCCTTGGTGATTGGGTGGGAGGGTCCATGAGTCACCAGGAGAATGGCGTAGGCTTTGCATATCATCCCGTGCCCCACCTCAATGTTACCAGCATGCCAGTTGGTCAGCCCTGCCCGCATCATGGCCATGCCCAGTTGGGCATTGTTGGGGTGGTAGAGCTTCCTGTAGGGACATAGCAAATAATCATAGCGCATAATCCCAACTGCCCTTATGTCTGCATAGCATTTGACAGCTTATCAAGTGACCTCGTTGATTAAGTCTACCTGATCCTCCCACCAGCCTGTGAAGCAGCTGCATCCTTATGATGGAAGCTCTACTTCTTTAGATAGTATGTAGAAAACGAAGGGACTTCCTGTGTTGATTGGTAAGGGGGAAAACTCTTTCCAAATACTTAAAATCAAGCTGGATTTAGCCTTAAGGAAATTAAAGCGCTGCTCAAGTGATACGGGAGCTGAAGGATCTGGGAAAGACCAAGGATGACAACTAGGTTTCATTCTCGGGTACCAACTCTGATCGTTTGGTTATCACTACTTGGAGCACCATGGTAAAAATGCTCAGTAATAAAGAGAACCATGATCGATTACTGATGCCTGCTGTGGGTGCAGGAGGGAGGGGTGGCAACATGTGTGCCATCTGTTTGCCATCCCTGAAATAGACACACTTTCAAAGACTGTCTGAGACCCAGGATCGTCACCTACATATAGCCATCCACCATCCTCCTGGCATAGTGCGAGGCCTCCTCAAAGGCCTGGAGGTAAGAGAGGACCTCTGAAACAATGCTCAGCATCCGCAGCACATAGAGGTTGGTATCTGAAAACACTGGCTCCTGCTTCTGCAGGCACTCCCGACATAATTTCACCACCTAGAATGAGACACAGGCTCTGTCCATTATCGGTGCCCCAAAACACATGCTTAATTCACATATCAGAGCATCATAACTGTGATCATTAAGGTTGTGTGTCAGCTTGGCTGGGCCATGATTCTCAGTGGTTTGGCAGTTATGATGCAGTCTGGCAGTCATATGATAATGTGATCACTTCCATGATGAGATTTGATACAATGTGATCACCTCCATGATGGGATCTGCTGTAAGTAGTCCATCAGTTGAAAGGGAGTTTCCCTGGGGATGTGGCCTGCATCAAATATAAATGGACTCTCTGGCAAGGCTCACAGGCTTTTGCTCGCTCTGTATCCTGCAGCTGGCTCCTGTTTGTCTGACCTCCAGTTCTTGGGACTTGAGCCAGCAGCCTACCTGCGGTCTTGCCTGCCTACCTTGGGATTGGTTGGTCTTTGCAGCCTGTGAGCAAGAGCCCTGCTGTCTGACTTGCTGATCTTGAGTTCACCAGCCCCTGCAGCTATGTGAATCAGGAGAAGCCTCCAGCCTGACCTACAGATTTGGGACATTCCAGCCTCTACAACCGTGTGAGCCATTTCCTTGATATAAATCTCTCTCTATATATATATGATTTACTGGCTTTGCTTCTCTTGAGAACCCAGCCTAAGACAATGACATTGAACACTCATTCTTTGAAGGTGGGGGAGATTGCTGGCAGAGGTGGGAAAGCACAGGTAAGTGACTTGAATAAAAAATGGTCCTATTTGGCTAAGAAGTAGGAATGTGAAG